CACCGGGCTTCACTGGGTCGTTTCCTCCTGGTACCTAGTGGAGCCTCCGGCGGCCAGTCTACGGTCTCCGCCAGGCGCCGCGTGAGTGGCACGACACACTGAGGACTACGCTTGCGGCTCTTGGGTTTGCTCCTTCTACTGCCGACCCGTCGCTGTTTCTGCGCACCGACACCTCTTTGCCGCCGTTCTACATCCTCGTGTACGTCGACGACTTGGTCTTCGCTACAGCTGACACTGCTGGACTCGCCCACGTGAAGTCTGAGCTGCAGAAGCGACACACGTGCACAGACCTGGGTGAACTGCGCAGCTACCTCGGCTTGCAGATCACCCGGGACATAGCACTGCGCACCATTATACTGTCTTAGTCACACATGGTGCAGCAGGTCCTTTAGCGCTTCGACTTCACGTACTCCTCGCCTCAGGCCACTCCTCTGTCTACTCGCCACTCGCTCTCAGCTCTGCCTTCGGATGAGTCCGTAGAGCCGAGTGGCCCGCACCCAGAGCTTGTTGGCTGCCTGATGACCTGCACGCGACCTGACCTTGCATACCCTCTTAGCATCTTGGCACGCTATGTTGCTCCTGGGAGACACCGACCAGAGCACATGGCTGCAGCGAAGAGGGTGTTGCGCTACTTGTGCAGTACGTCGGGCATGGGGCTAGTGCTTGGAGGGCAGAGTCCATTGCTCCTCACTGGTCACGCAGACGCGTCTTGGGTTGACGACCTGGCTACGCAGCGGTCGTCACAGGGTTACACCTTCAGCCTTGGTTCCGGCTCTGTTTCGTGGCAGTCTACACGTCACGATTTCGGTGCCGAACTACGAGTCGGCGCTGCCATCACCGATGCCGTCCAAGCCGTAGCGTTCGCCCTGCTTCAATCCGAGCCAACGAGGTGGTCCGACAGTTCAGGCATGGCTGTTCACAATGTTTTTTTTTTCAACGCAAACTACGTCTCATCGGACGCGACGAAAATCTGACACGCCGTGTCACTACTGCGAGGGCCTGCCATGGACTGGTGGCGCATCATCGTCATTGAACCAATTGACTACGAGACTCTACCGCCACGGGAAGGACAAATCGGACCCTGGGCGCAATATCGCACGTGGGTTTGTGCGCAATATTCGAGCCAATCGCGGTGTCAATCGCGGCGAGACAGAGGCTCTGCACTTGGCGCCAGCTCCGTTCCGTCCAAGACTACACCAGTGGGTTTCTGGTTGTGCGAGCAGGTGGGATACATGCATGAGGGAGAGCGTATAGACCGCTATGTCGGAGGACTGAAACACGAAATTGCTCAGGAGATTCGGCTACACAACGCCACCGAATTCAATGAGATTCTGGCAATGGCGGAGAAGCTCGAAGAAGCTCGACTTCTTACGCCGACCGAGACCGGGGTCCTACGGCAACGCTAAGGGAAAGGGGGAAGCTGAGCAGCAGAAACAGACCAAGCAGCAGGGAAACGATGGGAGTCCATAGCAGACGGGCCCTCTACTGACAGGTCACGCTGCTCGCCTGACCCGACCGACCCTCACCGAGTGATTGTGCCGGTTCACGCAATCGACCACACCTGTCCGAATAAGGAGGGTACAACGGTAGATAGCTCCATACTGCTTGGGAAGATTCGCATCGACTTAGTTAAAATATTCGTCGAAGAGGTAGCCAGCCACAGCCTAATCAACACGGCCACAGCACGAAGACTGAAACTGACATTGGACAGATGCTCACCTGAGGACGACGCACGACTGGTCGACAGCATGCCACTGGCGATACAAGAATGCGTGGACCGAGTTTGGATCCGATGCAAGGGTAACTTCACCATCACCTAGGAAATGCTGGCAACAACTCTCGACGGGACCGACATTTTACTCGGCTGTGATTGGTTGCGACGACACAACATGCGAACCTACTAGACGACGGGTGACTACACCATGCGAGTGAACTCTAACAACATCGCCCTACCTCGCTGGAGCTCGACTGAGTCTCAATCGGTGCGTGTCAACGCGATCACGATGAAATGCGCCACAGAGGAAGGAGCTGACGTGTACGTGTTGACATTCGGGAAGCCGAGGTAGTAGACAAATCGAGGGATTTACAGAAACTACTCGCTAACGTATCGGGTGACTTGGCAGAGCTACTGAAGCAGTACAACGAAATACTTCCGGACGACATGACTGAGGGACTACCACCCCAGCGACCGCATGACCATAGGATAGAACTGGAATTGAGGGCACAGTCGACGGTGCAGTGACAGTTCGGACTGACCCAACCTGAACTGGACGAACTGCGGAAGCAACTGGATTACGTGCTCAAAAAACTATTCATTCGCCCGAAGTCGTCACTCTTCGCCGAACCGATACTGTTCAGACCGAAATAAGGACTCGGAATTTCGCATGTGCATAGTTTACCGCGCACTAAATAGTTACCATCAAGTCCCGTTTCCCCATTCCCGCAAGCCGACGAACTGATTGACCAACTTCGCACAACCCGAGTCTTCTCGAAAATCGATCTTCGAGGGGGTTACCACAAGATTCGAATCAATCCACACGACTGCCCGAAAACCGCCTTCCGCACCTACTACGGGTCGTTTGAATACACAGTAATGCCTTTTGAATTGACCAACGCCCCCGCCACCTTCCAAATGACCATGACGAAGCCTTGCGCCCACTCTTAGAAGTGCGTGATCGTTTACTTAGACGATATACTGATCAAAAGCCCAGACAGAGCACAGCACATGAGGGTGAAGTGGCACTGGACGAGGAGCATGGTGGCCGCGGGTGAAGTTGAGCTGCGTTATGTAAAGACGACAGGGCAGCCAGCTGACATGATGACCAAGAGGCTGGTGGAGCAGCAGCATTGGAAGTGTTGCAAGCTGGCTGGGATGGCTCTGAACTGAGAGAGCAAGATCCTAAGGCCAACAACCCGAGGGGGAGTTTGTTGGTGCAACCCTACGGTTTGCACTCGGCTTGTTGTCCGTGTGCGTGTGCGTGCATGCGTGTGTGCATGGAGTGGTATGAGTGCATGAAATAAATATATATTTCATGCTTATAATGGTGTGTGAATGATGGGTCATGATGTCGAGTGTGTGTATCGAGTTAATGGCGAGTTATCGCTAGCCGCGTGTCAATGCGGTCATTTGTGTCTCGCGCGCGGTTTCTATTTTGTCGTGTGTCCCGTGCGCGGTTTCTATTTTGTCCTATGTGAAACGTTCGGCGTGTCGCAGGTGTATGCAGCAGACCCATCAAGAACTCAAGGTTGAGTTTGTGATGAAGAACCCGATACTGGTTCAAGCTTCAAGTGTTTTTCGAAGCTCGCCAAAAAAGGCTACACCTCAAGATATTGAAGATTGTTACATTACAATGTGTAGTGTAACATTTCTATGGGTGTAGGCCCTTGTGGAGGGTAGTTTCGAGACCCTTCTTGGTTAGGGACAGTGTGGCACTGTTCCACATCACTGTACCTCGGCTCTTGGGGTTTGTAGGAGCTGGGAGTCATTCCCAACTCGTAACTCTTCCTAGCTGTTCGTAATTGTGTGTCCTAAGACTATGTTGCTGCCATAGTGCCGTTCGTTCAATCTGACGCTGTGTCGTCAATTCTTGATGAAATCGTGCGATCTAAATTGCCTATTGTAGGCAACGTTACGACGCTCCAGATCCAAGTTGAATGAGGTCATTTAGAAATGTGACCAGATCGCTATGAATGTTTAAAGCCGCTGTGCAGAAATCTGACTACGCACTCCATCTTTGGTTCTAGGCACAATGAAGCCTATTGTAACTATAACAGCCCCCTGCAATGCTCCTCATCGAGGCGGAGGGCGATCGAGATGGCGTAACCATGGTCTGAGATGGGATCGTCAGGCATGATATGTGCGGAGTAAGAAAGGTAAGGAATGAGAGATTAAGAGACTAACGCTCGATCGTAACTCTGTAGCTTTTTGCAAAGAAGGTATACTCTCTGCAACCAGGGTGCAATATTCTAAAAGCGTCTGACAGTTGGAAGGCTGCGCTGCGTTGAAAGAAGCGTTCATTTTAACCAGGCTTTGCCTTGACCTCTAGAGTTGTCTAACAATGGGTTTTCTATAATGTTCAGGTCGCAGATCAGCAAGAGGTGTTCCGAAGGAGGGATACTGTCTAAAAGGGGCCCGAAGGAGTCACGGAAGAAGGCTGTTCTAGCTGGGATGATGGATGGAAAGTAAACTGCGAGGAGGATCAGGTCAAGACCGAGACCTCTAACTGAGGTTTGAATGATTCTACCCGAAGGTTGAGCTATAGTGTCGTGAAAGGTGATAGCGGGGTTACGACTGAGGACCGCTACCCCTCCAGCGCTGGTCCTAGGAGCGGTAGCTGTGAATGACGTTGCTGAGAGTGAAGTCCAGTACGGGTTGAGTCTAGTCTTGTGTCAACTAAAACTGCTACGCCTGAGCCCGTCATGAACCATGATCTAACTCTAGTCTGCTTGGTGTTGTTGCTGCCTAAACCGTTGACGTTCAGGCTGGAGAAGGTGAGGTGATTTTTTATATTTATGGGTACACCGGCTTGCAGCCCCTGATCATCCAGATTAAAGAAACAGAACAGACGACGCTAACTCCTAAGCACCAACAAGCAGCTGCATCCAGGTAACGCTTGAACTCTGTCACAGGCCGTAGTCTTTGCGAATGATGTCTAAGTTCAACTTGTGGAGTGACGCCTTCGTTGCTGAGCTTCCCTTCGACAACTCTAGCAGGTGAGCAGCTGCCGAGATGTGAGCTGCAGCAGCAACGAGGCTCTTCCCCTTCGCTTTCCCGCAGCCTTTTTGCGTGCAGATCCAATCTTCCCTGCTGCTGCCGGTGGAGACGAGAGCAATGGCCGGGTCTCGAAGGATTGGGAGAAAGAACGAGGACGCTTTCAACGACGCAGCTGCGGAGGAGCAGAGACAGGTTAGTGCGTGAGAGAAAAAAGCGGAGCGGAAAGCGAGCAGAAAAAATCACATTGCCGGCCGTCTGTGACGGCGCAGTTGACTACGTGGGGCGCATGCAGGAGGTCGCTAATTGCCTTACGGCACCCCAAGCCGCCCTCCCCGAGCCACTGCAAATCCACCGCCTCCTCTACAACCTCACCCCGGACTACGAGTCCCGCCTCCATGCCTTCACTGAGGCAAACCCCATGGCCAGCCTCGACGACGTGGTCCAATGGATCATCGACACGGAGGTCAAGCTCCGCACCCCCATTATCAACCTCACCACCCCTCAGCCCTCCTCCTCCAGCTCCCTCAATGCTACGCAACCGCGCAACCAGGGTGGTCGAAGCGGCGGCGGTGGAGGTCGTGGCGCTGGTGGCGGTGGTGGTGAAGGTCGGGGCGGTGGTGGTGGCGGTGGTGGTGGTGGTGGCCGTGGTGGCCGTGGTGGCGGTGGTGGTGGTGCTGGTGGCACCCCTACTGAAGGATCTTCCGGTGCTGGTGGTGCTGTGACTCGAGGCGGTCGCCCTAGAACTCTACCCCCATGCACGTATGTGCGCCGCCATGGTCCCCATGCTGGTATCCCTTGCGGTCAAACCAACCACCCCCCCACCACGTGCTTCAAGGCGCTCGATGACGCCTGGTTTGATCGAGGCAACACTGGCACCCCTCCTCGCTGGAACACTGTCACCCCTCGCCCCTCCCTGGTGGATGTTCAAACCCTCCCATCTTTCCTTCCTGCTCACCTCTGCCTGGTTACACTCTCCCCACCTTCACAGCTGCAGCAGTTTCAGCATCACCAGCAGCAGTAGCACCAGTACTTCCAGCAGCAGCAGCAGCAGCCGCAGTTTCTCCAGCCGCAGCAGCCGCCGCCGCCGCAGTTCTTCCAGCCACCGCCGCAGCAGCAGCAGCAGTTCTTTCCGCCACACTGGCAGCAGCAGCCGATTACTTTCGGCACAGCGGCCATGGCCGCTCATGCCTCCCTTCCTCCCCCTCTCCCCTGGGTTCCCTCCACTCTGCCCCCCCAAGTGTCCCCGACACTTCGGGTAGTTTCCTTGGTAATGTCAGTGTTGTACCATCCGTCGCTTCCATGTATCCCTCTGCTATCAATGAGACTTCTTTCCAATACCCCGTGCCACCTTCCCCTCCTTCCTCCCCCACCCTGGACTTCGACCTTGATAGTGGGGCCACTAAAACCACACTAAAAGACGGTGGCACTTTCACCCCCCTACCACTTCCCACTCAGGTTCATGGAGCTGATTCCAGTTTTTCCATCCAATGCACACACCTCTCCACCCTCCCTTGCACTGCCTTCCCCTCCGGTAAGCTCACAGGTCTTTACATTCCCACTCTCCGCAACAACCTCATCTCCCACCGTGAGCTCCAAGGTGTTGGTATTACCGCCATTTACCCCGGCTTTGCTAACTACTGTGATCTCTACCAAACCTCCTCTGATCGCTTCCTTCTCCGCATTTCGCTTTGCCCTGGCACTCGCCTCTACACACTCCGCACACCTCGCCCATCTTTCTGCCACGTCACCACCCGTGCCGGTACTTCCACCGGTCCACCTCCCCCTCCTTTACTCCCCCCTTCCCCTCCCCCTCAAGTATCCTCCTCTCCCTCCCCACCATCCTCCTATCCCTTCCATCACCCCATCTCCCTCCTCCTCCACTACTCTCTCGCACCCTGCCGTTCTCTTACACCACAGACTCGGCCATCCCAACTTCACCGCACTTCGCACCACAGTCACCTCTCGCCTCCTCCGCAGCCTTCCTCCCGTCTTACCCCCCCTCCCCTCCTCCCCCTCTCCCCCATGCCCTTCATGCATCCACGGCAAGCTCAAACAGTCACCCCACCACAATCATCCCACCTTCGCCACCGCCCCCATTGACCTCGTGCACATGGACCTCTGGGGCCCCTATCCCATCCGCTCCCGCCAGGGGCACAGGTACATGCTCGTCCTCGTCGAAAACCACAGCCGGTACTCCACCGTCTTCTTTCTTCACACGAAAGACCAGGTGCCGGCTGTGGTCATCAACTGGGCTGAGCTGTGCCGCAACCACTTCGAATGCCCCATTGGCCGCCTTCACTCTGACGGTGGGGGTGAGTTCATCAATCACACACTCGCCTCTTACTGCACGACCCACGCCATTCAGCAGACCTCCACCCTCCCCCACTCCCCTCAGCAAAATGGCGTTGCTGAGAGTCGCATTCGTGAGATCACCAAAATTGCTCGCTGCCTCATTGCTCATGCTTCCACCCCTCCTTCCAATTGGAGCTATGCCCTCCTCCACGCCGCCCTTCTCCTTAATCTCCGCTCCCATCCTCAGCACCCTTCCTCCTCCCCCACAGAGCTTTGGTCCAAGGCCAAACCTGACGCTGCCGGCCTTCGTGTTTGGGGCTGCAAGACCTTCATCCTCATTCCGCCCGCTGACCGCTCACCCGCCGCTGGCAAGCTTGCTCCTCGCGCCCTGGAATGCGTTTACCTTGGGCACAACCGCGACTCCCCAGGCTACCTGTTCCTCCACCCTCCTACCAATCGCCTTATCTGCAGCAGCGACGTCGTCTTCGACGAATCCATTCCCTACTACTCCACTCCTCCCCCTGATCCTCTCCCTAATCCCTCTCGCCCCCTCGCTTGGACCGATACCGTCCTCCCGCCTCTCCTCCCCTCCACGCCCCTCTTCCCACCTGTAGCCGCTCCGCTCCCGCCTTCCTCCCCTGCCGACGGCTACGACCCCGCTGCACCCGCCTCCCCCGCCCACTCAGCTGCATCCCCTCCCTCCCCTCCCTCCTCCTAACAGTCTCCCTCTTTTCAACAGTAGCAGCAGCAGCAGCCGGGGCAGCAGCAGCAGCAGCAGCAGCAGCAGCAGCAGCAGCAGCAGCAGCAGCAACAACAGCAGCAGCAGCAGCAGCCGGGGCAGCAGCAGCAGCCGCAGCAGCAGCGGCAACAGCAGGAGCAGCAGCAGCCAGGGCAGCAGCAGCAGCAGCAGCAGCAGCAGCAGCCGGGGCAGCAGCAGCAGCAGCCGGGGCAGCAGCAGCAGCAGCAGCAGCAGCAGCAACAGCAGCGGCTTCAGCAGCAACAAAGTGCCACTTCTCGCTCCTCCCCTTTCCTCCTTCCCCGCATGCACACATCGTATCCTTGGGACCCCTCCTCCTCCTTCCCTGCAACTCCTTGAGGACTCTCACGAGGAGTTCCTCACCATCCAGCAGCACACTCCTTTCCTTGCCACCCTCTTTCTTGACTTCCTTGGCTTCCCCGTCCTCGGCGCCACCTCCACCCCCACCATCTTCACTCCCTCCACCTTCCAAGAGGCCATCACCTGCACTGACGCGGACAAGTGGATAGCGGCAATCTTCCAGAAGTGTGAGGCGTTTATCCGCAACGGCTCCTTCGTTGACGTCCCCCTCCCCGCCGATGCCAATCTGTCGAGGGCAAGTGGGTTTTTTCGTGTGAAGCAGCTGCCGGGTGAGGAACCGGTCTACAAGGCCCACTACTGCGCCAAGGGCTTCACACAGACGTTTGGGGAGGATTTTTGGGCCACCTACGCCCCCACCGCCAAACCCCCCACCCTTCGCGCAGCCCTCGACATTGGTTCGCGCGACAACATGGAGCTCGATTCCATGGACGTCTCCAATGCGTTCCTGCAGGGCGACCTGCACAAGCGCATTTTTCTCCGGCGACCACCCGGGTTCCACGCAGCCTTCCCTGAGAACACTGTCTGGCAGCTGCGTCGCCCTGTCTACGGCTTGAAGCAGGCACCACGTGAGTGGTATGCAAATCTGACTGCCACCTTAGGGTCTCTCGGCTTCTCTTCTTCCCACTCCGACGCCAGCCTCTTCATCCGCTCCTCCCCCCGCCACTTCTTCATTCTGGTGTATGTGCACTACATGATCCTGCTCTCTGACACCAAGCCTGACATGGAGCAGATGAAGCTGTCCCTGCAGCAGCATCTCAAGTGCAAAGACCTTGGCGCCCTCACTCACTACCTGGGCATGGCCATCACGCGCAATCACCCTGCTCGCACCATCACCCTCTCCCAGTCCCACTACATCGGCCAGGTCTTGGAGAAGTTCAACATGGCGCATGTCAAGCCCGTCTCCACCCCCCTCCCCTTCGGCCACCAACTCGCTCCACCCACCTCTCCCACCTCCTCCCCCCTCTCCTATGCCGAGCTCGTTGGGTCCCTGATGTACGCGATGATGTGCACCCGCCCCGACCTTGCCTACCCCATCAGCGTGCTCGCTCGCTTCGTCGCCACACTGAGGAGCACTGGAAAGCTACCAAGCGGGTCCTCCGCTACCTTCGAGGGACCAAGGACCTTGCCCTCACCCTTGGCGGCCCTTCCCCTCCTCTCCTCTCGGGCTTCAGCGACTCCTCCTGGGCCGACACGCAGCCGGACCGCCGCTCCTCCCAAGGCTACAGCTTCAACCTTGGCAGCGGCATCATCTGCTGGCGCTCCACCCGCTCCTCCGCCATCTCTCTCTCCACCTGCAAAGCTGAGCTCTACGCTGGCACCATGGCCGCCTAGGAGTCACGCTGGCTCTGCTTCCTTCTTGCAGAGCTTGGCGCTCCCCAGACGTGCCCCACTCTCTGGTGCGACAATGCCAGCACCATCCATCTCACTGAGGACCCTGTCTATCATGCCCGCTCCAAGCACATCGAGCTCCGCTACCTTTTCATTCGCGAGCTCGTCCAGAAGGGCCTTATTGCCGTTCGCAAGATTGCGGCCAAGGCCAACTTGGCCGACATCTTCACTAAGGCCCTCCTTCGCCCCGCGCACTCTGCTCTCCTCCGCCTCATTGGCCTCGCTCGTTCGGGCACCCCTTGATTCAGGGGTTGTTCTCTTCTTGTGTTAGCATGCTAAGGGGTTGTGTTAGAAATATATATTGTAGCATGCCAACACTTGTGACTGTACACCAATTGTGGTGTACAGTTGGGTTGGGACTACACCCAACATTGGGTGTAGTCTTGCACTTTGGGGTGCCAATCCACCCAATTGTGGTGGAGCCCCCAAATGCAACCCACTTGGCTTATGGGTGCCTCACTTCCTACAAGTGAGGTCACCTCAAGCCAAGTGGGCCTAGGGTTGCCTCACTTCTACAAAGGGTGGGCAACCCACCCTACTTGACCTATGGTTGCCTCACTCCCCCAAGTGAGGTCCACCCAACCTATGGTCGCCTTCACCCTTCCCTTCTAAGCCTCTCTTCCAACTATGTATGCTTGGCTTCTCCCCTAATGAAGTTACTTGTTCAATTTACAATCTTCACATGACTGCTTCATGGGGCCTCGCATTTTAGTCGCGAAGCTTCTGTTGGTTCTTTCCGCCAAACCCTGCTGCTTGTAGCCGTAGGGAAGAAAAATCATCCTCTTGATTCCCTCCTCTGCATGGAGGGTTTTGAACTCCTCTGTTGTGTACTCTAGTGCTCCGTCCGTCTGGAAGGTTTTCAGCTTCTTTCCTTCACTCTGTGTTTCTGCGAGTTTCAGCCAGAGGTAGAAGTAGTGACAGGCAAGGTGGCGGTTGGTGACGTTCGCAGCCCAAACGAAACGCGCGCCGGTGTCGATGAAGGTGATTGTGTATTGTTCCCCTTGAGTGGTTTGTATTTTATTGTAAGTACTAGGAAGTCGCAGTAGACCTTCTTGAGTGGTTTGTATCGCTCAGCACTCATAACCTTTTCGGCGAAGTTGGCGTGAGCTAAGGCGGCTGTCTAGCAGATAGTGCAGTTAGGTAGATATTCCCTGGGTTTGAGAAATTTTCTATACGGTGGTAGCAACGCATCTTCCGCAAATACTTTTGTGTTGATTGGGTTC